ACAAAATTCTTTTGTTATGGATTTCCAAGGAGTGGTGTATATTTCAAAAATTGTACGCATTTAACAGACCAGATGACTCTATAGTTTACATGAATACGCAAGCATTTGACTAATGTGGGTAAGCCCACCGCCTCAAGCAGGGCGGACTTAGTGAGGATTACTTTATTTCATATGTACGACTGTTTCCTAATAATAGAAAATAATCAATTTTCCCCACCTAGCTTGATTTGCTATTGATATGTACGTAGTGATTTATCTATACCTATAATATACACAGATCTAATTGGCATAGCCAGTTGAATATAAACGCTGTTTAATGTAGTTTGTTGTCTTTCTGAGATAACTTTAGACGAAAGTATCATCGTCAGGAATAAGTGACACGTTACCTTCGGTTCCCAATAATGTGAGAGGCTTAACTTTGAGGATATGTGTCAAGAGAAAATCTGAAAATGCATTTGTTTAAAACAGGACACTTACAAGTTGGGACCAGAAGCAATTATGATAATCAAAATGATTTTAAATAAGGTCACATACTTATATATGGGATATGTCAGGCATACAATCTCTCTTAGCTGACCACCTAATATGATTTAATCTGTGAAGTTCTAGTTAAAGTTTAGGGTATTTTAAAGGCAGAAGTTTAAACGAAAGTTCAACCCTATATTGACCCGAAAGGGGTGAAAATCTGTGAATTTAGATTCTGTGTATGCACAGAGAACGTCAAACGATAAATTTACTTTAAAAAATAATAGGACCCAAACTGTTTATTGAGACATCTTGCTGACTTGTAGTACAGTGGTGCGGGGTATATTTGCATGACCTTGACTTGGGTATGAAGACTTTCTCTGAGCATACCCAAATTGCATGAGTGAATTTACTTTTACGCCGCTTTTAGAAATATTCCAGCAATATCACGACAGGGGACACCAGAATTGGGCTTCACACATTAATTGTAACCATGTGGGGAATCGAACCCGGGTCTGACGACGAACACTTTTACCACAAGGCTGCCATACCGCCCCCATGCCAAAGTTGACCCAATCTGCACAACAGTAACACGGAACCTACGGATAGGGCGGCACTTGAGTTTGGTTTAACGCCGGGTTGAACAGGCGTCAGCTGAAATTGGCGGGAGTGAGTGAGTAAATTAAGTTTAACGACTATTTAAACTGCTTTCATGTTATATCGTGTCAACGTAAGGAGAGAGGAACGGCACAAGTGATGTAGGCCATAGACATTTCGCCCCTCTAAATCCACAAGCATAGACATGGTGCTGATAAACCTAGACACATAACTGGGGGGAACTGGGATTCGAACCCACCATCATACATTTCTGGCTGGAGATGATGCAGGTGAAATGGGTATCACCTTGGTGAAACCACGAACACGGATGGAAACCCTTGAAACGTGATCAGGAAAAGTCTAGATTCGGAACGGTCAACCCACTATGCATTGACTGTTGGTGCCTCCTAGAGAAGCAGCCAAGGGGATTCAAAGTTACATTGGCACCTAGACTAACGCTTAGTCTCTGAATATATATTTTTGATTGTAACAGATAAACCTATTTAAATTGAAATGGAGCCCAAGGGAGACCAGAGATTCAGAACCTGAGGAAATCTAGACTTGATTCATTTTGGGCTTTAGCATTGCAGAGAGGGCTAGGCTGTAGGGAACATAATGTGGTTCAGGTACTGAGACAGACTAACTGGCACCTAGCAATCTACGCTTGCCTCCAAGACGACCTTATGGATCGAGTGGTCTGTTTACTTGGTTGAGGGGCGGTGGGTTATCCTAGTGGTTAAAGCCCTCGCTCGTCACGCCAAAGGCCCCGGTTCAATTCCCCACATGCGTACAATGTGTGAAGCCCATTTCTGGTATCCCCCGCCGTGATATTGCTGGAATATTGCTAAAAGCGACGTAAACCCATACTCACTCACTCACTCACTCACTCACTTGGCTGGAAGCATGTCACTGTACCCGATTGTATAAAGGGATATCGATCACCAGATTGTCTGGCCAACAACTCTGTTATTTGCAAAACGCCGTCATATACAGCTTGACTATTGATGACTTCAGGTTTAGAAAGACACAACAGAAACTCTTACAGAGTCAGCTCTGCCCGGGGAATTACAGGAATCCCGAGTAGACGACTGGACCATTGTTATTTACTATGTTTAGGGGACATTGTTTGAACTACACACGACTAGGGGATTAATATTGCCTTTTCAGATTTAATTAATGTCTGTGAAATAGAAACAGGTATGCTTGGTCGTTCCGAGACTAGATGCCGATCAAACAGAGACGACTAAAGAATATACCTTATAGTCACCTCGACGCCATCCGGTAACCTATCAGTGAGTGAGTTGTGTTTTACGCTGCACTCAGCAATATTCCAGGTATATGGCGGCGATCTGTAAATAATCGAGTCTGGCCCAAACAATCCAGTGATCACACAGCATGAGCATTGATCTGCGCAATTGGGAACCGATGACATTTGTCAACTAAGTCAGCGAGCCTGACCACCCGATCCCATTAGCCGCCTCTTACGACAAGCATGGGTTACTGAAGGCCAATATTCTAACCCGGATCTTCACGGGTCCCGGTAACCTTTACGATGCATCACTTTTGAACACGCAGCGTTTTATTATTTCACCTATTGGTTGGTTGGTTGTTTAACGCCGCACACAGCAATATTCCACCTACATGGCGGCGATATGTAAATAAGTCTGGACCAGACAACCCAGTTATCAACAGAATGAGCATCGATCTACGCAATTGGGATACAATGACATGTGTCAACCAACTCAGCGAGCCTGACCACCCGATCCTGTTAGTCGCCTCTTACGACAAGCATGGGTTACTGCAGATCAATTCTAAACCCTGATCTTCACGGGTATTTCATCTATTGCTTTGTGTTAGTTACGTCTCCAGGTTTGTCAGCACTAAACCCGTGCTCGTGGATTTCAACAAGGTGGTAAGCGAATTGATTTATTCTCATTTTAGAAACATTTAATACAAAGTATTTTTAATGGTTAACAATATCTTTATTGTAGGGGAGTAGTGGTAGCCTAGTGGTTAAAGTGTCCGTTCGTCATGCTGAAGACCCGAGTTTGATTCTCCACATGGGTACAATTTGTGAAGCACATTTCTGGTGTCCCCCGCCGTTATATTGCTGGAATATTGCTAAAAGCGGCGTAAAGGCATACTCACTCGCTCATTCTTTCTTCTAAGTACTATATGATGTGACGATTCGGTGTAGATCCTTGTAGGCCCTACTGTTAACTCCAATGTTCTATAAAAACTCACATTACAGAATAAAGAAGTTGTCATCCACATAATCGTCTGAACTTTAACGATAAGCGTGATTGGTCATTTCTTTATTCCGACAGCTGTGATATCACAGAAATATTGTTTCATGCGGAGTTAAACCAAAATCAGGAAGGAAATATCTCAACCGTGTAACATACAGTTGGTGCGACCCACGAGCACAAGACTAAGAGATTGGCCTTCTAGAGACCAAACACAAAACTGAAGTCGGATCCTGGCATCAAAGGGAAGTAACCCCGCAACAAACTGAAGGGCCTTTATCATGTTTTGCGTATTCGGGTAGAGCCCCCGAACACTGCTCAACATAGATCTATCTAAGTCCTCAATCCGTATAGCCCTCGTGAACAGGATGTACTGATAAAAGTTAGAGCTCGCATCACAATGATCTAAAATTAAAATAAACAGGAGAAAACGTGACTCTATCGTCGAAAGCACCACTGATCTTTGTACAGCTGCGCCCCTTAGTGGTGCAAGCTAGGGTCCTTTGATCGTGGTTTTGAAATCCAGAGTCGGGGTTTCTCAGCTCCATGTGAGTCAGGCGCGTTGCAAGCCAATTTTGTCGTGTAAGCCCGATAGGTTGCAAAGCTTTATATTTAGATCGGAGAGCGGAAGGTCGCGGGTTCGATCCCCGACCGCGTCATACCAAAAGACGTTAAAATATAGTACTTGCTGGTCCCTGCCTGGCGCTCGGCATTAATGGGTACAACAAGGACTTGTCGGCTCGGAGTCAGTATAATGTGTCTGAGTAGGGTATTCATGCTTCTCTGCGGCATGGTATCTCAGTGGGCTAGCACTATAAAACCAGCTTCAGTCTGGGCTAGTACAAGCAGCCGCACATACACATACACACGCATGCACGTCGTCATATGAGCGAACTATTCTCAAGCACGACGTAAAACCCAATTTCACCTCACTTATATTTAGATATTTAGGCAATAACCATTTTTAGGCCCGGGCTTTTTTATATTGGTGGCTACGCCCATGTGAGTTTAATCGTTTTATGGTCAGAAAAACTGAGATCTGCGTAGCTTCCAGCTTTCAATCCACATTAAGCTGACAGGCCGTGTAATAACCGAAATACTGTTCAAAGCGGCAGTAAACCAAACTCACTCTCTCATACATCTAATGCAGCCTAGTGTCTGTTAGAACACTGACATTTATTATATCAAAACCGTAGGTAGCAGTTAGTACAATGCTGATATAACTGTATTAAGATGTTACGTGTTCGACGGGTATTTTAACCTCTTACAACATCCGCGTACAGCCCACTGATCACGTTGAAGGTTCAGGGACATCGTAGTGATATCGATTGTAAGCTGACTGACAATGTACTAAGGAGCGTATATCTTGGTATGCACACGGAGGTGTGGGGAAAAGGTGGATTGCAGTTCTTCGAAAAACGAAACTGCATATTGGGATAAATAAATGACACTGTTAACTACAGGGTATTGTCAAGAAACAATATGAGTCATCCTTTTTGTAGGTTTTGTTCAAGTGTAAAGAGGTTTATATCGCCACCATTACCGCTAGCGTCGGTAAACAATACATGATCTCTCCACGCTGATGTGCTCAACTAGCTCACCCCCGAAGATAGGACTTGACCGTTGCGTAGCAACGTGACGCTCAGACATGCGCTAGCACACTCTGACCCAGGCGGCCATGATTTTGTTTGGGGGTCCGTGCACGCGAAAATAGGAGACCTCCAACTTACCTGACAGCACTGCAAGCAAGAAGAAGGGATTACACGAGCGGGGCGTTTCGTAACAAATTTCGAGAGAGTACTCACACCCGAGAACATTCGCCATTTGTCTGGTGGATGTTATGTGAATATGTTCTGACGACTTACAAGCGCTGGTTCGCTTGATGAAGATGTTTTCTGTGAAAAGAGCGCGAATTAAATTTGAAGGGGTGATGAAAACAAACTGCTTTTCGACACAGTTTCTCAGGATATGTATTTTGTGGCTGGTGATAGGTAGGTGTATTATGAAAAGTGTTATTTCTGTCAATGTGATACTCAGTAACATATCCTTCTGATATATTTTAAAATTTAGACAGTTTTTCAGTTGTGTGATTTATTGTTTGTTTAATGAAGTGTATATGCAACAATAGTTCTTGTGTTCGGGATTTGTGATCACAATAGATTCACATGTTAAACAGTGTCTAATTCTGTATCAGGCGTGCGTTATGGGTCTATTTGTGAATACATGTTACACAGTTTCTAAATACATAACATTCACAGTGTTAATACATATATGGCTTTAAGTGATTAAATGTTACACAATTTCTAATTGATAAATAATTTTCTATATGATAAAAACATTGTATTCTTCACAAGTTAATCCAACATTTTAGGTTACACATTAAGTGGAATAAAAAATATAACTAATGGTAAGTGTTCCTCCCGTTCTCCCATCCCAAATAATATTTATAAATATACTAATATTATTAACAAAACTTAACACAACAATTACTAGAGAACTCACAAAATGACTAAAAGTCCAAAATTTAAGTTAGGGTTAGGTTTGGGGTTAGGTTTAGAGTTAGGTTTGGGGTTAGGGGAACGGAAGGAACTCTTTCCGTTTATTTATACATTATAGAAAGCCATACTTGTGTTTCAGGTTATCCGACCAAGCCAGTGCTTCACTGGCATCATAAAATTTTACATCATATCTAAATATTAAAAATAATAGATATTATGTTATATTTTAAAAAGCCCAAAAATAGATTTTCTTCCTTAAGTGGCAATTAGAAGCTGGTATGATGACGTTTTGGTGTAGATCCTAACACCGTTATCAAGCAAATGATCTACACTGAAATGTCGCAACTACTACTGGAACAAAGAAGTTGTCTATCATTTGTTTGATAACGGTGTTAGGATCTACACCGAAACGTTGCAACTACTTCTGCAACAAAGAAGTTGTCTATCATTTGTTTGATAACGGTGTTAGAATCTACACCGAAACGTCGCAACTACTTCTGCAACAAAGAAGTTGTCTATCCATAAAAAGTGTTCCACAAAAAATAGATGTTTCCATGCAGTATATCTGCACAAGTTATTTTGACCAACAAGTTTGAGAAACTATTGGAAAGACTTCAGCCATATCCCCACTTCTAGTCAAATCATATTACCTGAAAATATATATATTCTTCTCATCGTTAAGATTTATACCCGTGGAGGTCCGGGTTAGAATGTTGACCTTCAGTAACCCATGCTTGTCGTAAGAGGCGACTAACGGGATCGGGTGGTCAGGCTCGCTTACTTGGTTGACACACGTCATCGGTACCCAGTTGCGCAGATTGATGCTCATGCTGTTGATCACTGGATTGTCTGGTCCAGACTCGATTATTTACGGACCGGCGCCATGTAGATTGAATATTGCTGAATGCGGTATAAAAGAAAAACTTACTCACTCGTTAAGACTTAGGGGGGATACAGGCGGAAGTCTTACCAAACTATGAGTGAAACATTATGAGAGAAATGCTCAATATTTGTTTCCATCTTTTACAACAAAACATAATTAAACCTCTGTATTATAGCAGGGACAGTGGGGTAGCCCAGTGGTTAAAGCATTTCCTCCTCACGCATTAAAGGCCCGGGTTCAATTCCCCACATAGGTACTATGTGTGAAACCCATTTCTGGTGTCCCCCACTGTGATATTGCTGGAATATTGCTAAAAGCGTTGTAAAACCCAACTCACTCACTCATTTATTATACCAATGTATGGGTGCAGATAAAGGTTAGGTAGATGGCCTCTCATGACACTGAGGTGTGGCAACACATATGTCATATTGTCGCTGGAACAGGATTAGATAATTTACAGGCCACCGTCATACAGCTGGTATATTGCTGGGTGTGCCTTTAAACAGAAAACAAATTGTCCTGTTTTGAACTGCACAGATTTATTTGTATTTGAACTTACTCCAGTTACTGGTTGTCAGAGTTCTATAAATAAAATGGTCATTTATTAACTATGATTGTTGATACTGTAGTGAAGAACATGATAGGCATGATAATGGCTTTTTCATGTACGCTTTTCATAATTTCCTGAACTGGGAAGCAGTGTTAAGTGAGGGTATTACAGAGATCACTTTACTGCCTGCATTGTCTATGAACAGCATGTGCAGGAGAGGAAGTTTGTGGGTTGATTTGCTGCTATGTCATTAGAAAAGATGTTTAAAGGTGGTACTTGTTGTTGCCCTGGCTAGTGATGGGCATTTATGGGATATAATAAGGACTGGTCAGCTTGGAGTCAGTATGATGCGTGTGAGTGAGGTACATGTCTGAGACTGCTGCATGGTATCTCAGTGGAAGATCCAAGTTAGAATTGGTCTTCCGCAACCCATGCTTGTCGTAAGAGGTGACTAACAGGATAGGGTGGTCAGGCTCGCTAACTTGGTCGACGGATGTCATCGTATCCCAGTTGTGTAGATTGGTGTTCATGCTGTTGTTGACTGGATTGTCTGGTCCAAACTTGATTATTTACAGACCGCCGTCATATAGCTGGAATATTGCTGAGTGCGACATAAAACAACTAACCAAACCAGTGGTATTATTCTAGACTGGTATGTGCATGCATGTCACTATATACAGGGCTCGATTTAAGACATGTTAACCTACTTGCACCAGGTGCAACCTAAGACAAAAACCTAGTTGCACCAGCCAAATTCCAATTGCAACATTAATAAGTGTTAAAACATCAAAGGTTTTGGTGCACATAAACATATTTCCGTGATGTAGTAGGCTACCCATGAAACCTTAGCACCACAGCCACACAGCTGATCCCTGTTTACAAGAGCTGTCATAGCCGAGACGTGTCTGTAAATAGCAATGTTTCAGTGCCATAGGTATTCAAAGTTTACAAGAAAAATGAGCTGATATATTTATGCTTAAAATGTCAGATTTATTGTTGATTTATTTCCCCAAAATTACTTGCACCTGGTGCAAGTTAGACTAATAACTAGGTTGCACTTTGTATGTAATGTTAGGTTGCACCAGTGCAAGTAACAAAGCACTAAATCGAGCCCTGTATAAGAGGAATAGTTTTGAAGTTGACATTAAACCTCGTGAAGATCAGTTCACGACAACAGTGATATTTAAAGCTCTCTTCTTCCGATGGATTACTGAACTTTTGCCAAGTGCTTTAAAAATATTTTCAATTAATACATTTGATTAGTATTGAATGATTAAACTCTCCAACATCAACCCTAATCTGTAAAACACGATTGATTTATTAGAAAATAAATCCTTTAATGTTTAACATTCAGTATCATATCAGTGAAAGAAATAAAGACAGCAAATTTTTCATGTTTATCGAGTTTCAAAATGTATAACTTGATCTGATTAAATAGTTACAAAAGTAAATTGACTTACTGATAAAAAAAAATAATTCTGACCTTAATGTTACTGTGAGAAATATAAAATAAATTTTCTTTTGAGAACACTGAACGTATCAACTTGGGATTATAGTTTAGTGTAATTGCGTCAGTAGGTACATGTGTGCGCTGTAATATATTGCTGAGTACCCTCTGATGTGTGGTGTACTGTGAAGTGTTATTACCAAGTATACCCTGCCTGCCTGTGGTATATCACTGGCGCAGGGCTTCAAACTGTACCCACAGCAGTCATTAATGTGAGACTTCAAACATGGGGTAGTAAATCCACCCTGAAGGTAATTGGTTAACTTTCTGAAATAGACCCTGAAAAATACAGTTCCAACCAATATGTGATATTTTAATGAACCAATAAATTCTTTGTACACCTGATTAATTCAATATATTTTGTATTAAAAACAACTTCTTATTTGTTTTCTTTTAATACTGTATAGCTTGATAAGCATGATAGGGTTGGTAGAAATGTGTGAATATAGTACTATTATATTTCAGAGGTTCATTTTTGGTCTCCCCTCTAAGACACATTGCTGGACTGTTGCTCAAAGTGGCATGAAGCCATACATATACTTATAAACATGACAGAAAACAGTGTGAATGTATTCTCTGCATGATTTTAACATGTTTTTAAATACATTTTGATATTTAGAATTGAGTCCAATTATCATTTAACATGGCCACCATGCAGGCAATAAAACAAGTATGAAGGTGTGAAAAAAGTATTCCGAACCCATAAATGTTTGAAATGAATCAAATGATCTACGTTATATTCCTTTTTTCAAATTTATGATCATGTAGTGGACAATGGAAGAAATTGTACATTTTGGTAGCTAATATAGAAATATGGGCAAGTGTCAATCAAAATACTTTTATGAGTGGTGAAAGTTAATCATACTGGGCCATGCCCAACTTGACAGAATGCATGGTGAGTTGTCGTCATAGCAGTACAACTGTTGTAAGTCAGTTATGGTTCCTGTCTCTTTGCAGTGCTCACCCAATCTGGGTTAGAATTGATCTTCAGTAACCCATGCTTGTCGTAATAGGCGACTAACGGGATCGGGTGGTCAGGCTCGCTGACTTGTTTGACACGTTATCGTTTCCCAATTGCCTAGATTGATGCTCATGCTCTTGATCACTGGATTGTCTGGTCCAGACTCGATTATTTCCAGACTGCCGCCATATAGTTTGAATATTGCTGAGTGTGGCGTAAAACTAAACCCACTCCCTTCTCTTTGAAGTTCCAGTACTTTACAACTGTGAAGGCATTTCAGTGTATGTTTTTTGTTCCCAGATTGTGCTGCTGGTCAGTGCAACTGCACCGGAGCGACGTGTGACACGACTTGTACTGCTGGTCAGTACCTGGAGAATGGACAATGCCTGGAATGTCCCATGGGACACTAGTAAGTATAGATGTACTGCCCTTGATGTGATACATTGAACTCAGTCGACAGTCGTAGGGTGGACTCAATGGATGATCTGTGACAGGGTCTAAATACCTACACTACATCTTGTATCCTAAAACCTACACAACAACAACTAACAATAGTAAATACTTAAAGAGGAAGTAATAGTCTCTTGGCCTGTGTACTAGTCTGTGACGTCTTACGAGGAATCATGTTGGTATGTGATATGATATATTTATGAAGGGGCAACATAAAGTAAATATGCTTAAGTAGTGAATAAATTCTAGAGGCATTATGGGTAGTATCTTTGAAGTTTGATCACCAAATACGGTTATGAGGACTGTGACTCCAGGTCAGCTGTGTTTCAACATTTATTGAGTTGGAATGTAGAAGTCAATAAAGAAGCCGTAAGGTTTCTTACTGGTGAAAAGGGTTCATAAGTGGTCGGAAAGTGAAAAATGTGTATTTGATGACAGACTGTTGTATTGGGCAGACCACATTTACTGAAAGAAGCCTTTCGTACATGCAGTGTGTGTGTTACGGGTATGTCAGTGATCGGTGGTACTAGTGATTTGTAAGAACAGATTGTGTGAGTGGACTGTCAACCAGGAGAAGAGTATAAAGAGACTGATACTATGTATCAAGTACTACAACTGTAGGGTGATATGAACACTGTATGGTTATGTTAAATAGGAAATACGCATGGAGAAGTATTATTATACATATGTTGTAACCCAGGGTTTTATAAAGTCCAGGGTCTGGTCATTTCCAATAACTTACTTTAAAAACATCCTGTCTGTAGCAGCATGTGTATAGTATCATAATCATGATTATTATTTTGTTTTTCTCTCTGCTCTCAACATACCTTTACCACTTATTACGAATCTAATCAAATAGATTTAGTTCCTGGATCATTCATGGCTCATAAGGGGTGGGGTTGTATTGTCATTAAAACTTGCACCTGTCATATCCCAACTAAATATACAGTATATGGAATGAGTGCAACCTTCAACAATGAAGGGATTGTGTTTAGAAAAGTTTTTACATTCTCCTACTTAAAGTGATATATCTATGTAGACAGTTTACTCATATATTTATGTACTTATTTAGTTTGTATTTTTGTTTGAAATATTTGTGTAACAACTGAAAAAGAATAGTAAAATTTGCCAAAGTCACATTTTTAAAGATGTCTAATAATCTCCCACAAAAGTCAAAAGCACTGCAACATATGTGTTGGTAAAATTGTCCCAGGTTTTCCCCTGTGAGTTGTAATAGAAGTAATATAGTCCATGATGTTTTATTGACTTGACCAGCAAATATTGCAAACACAATTAGTAATCCTTCAGAAAAACAATTGTTATGCCTTTCTTGTTCAGTGAGAGAGTGAGATGAGTCCTGATAAATGAGTTACTTTGTATAAGCCTCTGTTCTGTGTACTTGTTTTCTTTGGAAGCCATGTTTTATTTGTCTTCCTGCAGATAATTAATGTTCTCTCTGACAAGACTCGTTGCAGCATGAAATAGTTGCATGTCTTGAATCAATATTTACTAATTAGACATATTCATTGTAGAAGACATAAAACTGGTCGACCTTCTTGTTAAACCCTCTTGTGTAATCATCAGTGTGATTGTAATCGTTGTATTATGCAGCGCTACCTCAACAGTTTCTTTGTTTTACAGGTTTGTTTTCGAAGACACAAGTTTGTGTGTGATTGATTTTGTGACAGTAATGATTGATGAGATGTAATTATAGCGTGAGAGGAGTGGTTGAAGGTGATTTTTTAATAAGTACACCACGACTCGTGGGATTGAAGTCACAAGTGGGTTGAAGAGAAACATTGTATTGACTTGACATACTCACTCACACAAGATGGACATGAAGGAAAACCAAGTTCTATGGACAGTCAGCTTCTTTGTTGTAATAAATGCCATGTTTCAGTGTAGATACATCACTTGGTTGATTGCAATAAAGAAGTTGACTATCCATAGAACATGGTTTTCGTTCATCTTTACAACTTCTAAAATGCCTCTCAAGATGGACATGTCTACAACATGGGGTCCAACCAGGTGGTATTCTGGTGTAGGGGAGATGGGTCTTTTTGTATGAAAAACACATGTTCCTGAAAAAGCAAACAATGATAACAAGTCAAAAGGATTTACAATAAGAAATATTCAGACTAATGTTCTGATGTATTGTAAGGGGAAGAAAATATCATTTGGAACCTCTCAGAGAAAATGATTGTGTCTTGAAGTGCTCACTAAAACTAATTCCAATAGTTATCTACCCATCCTTCATACTCATGTTTGAAGCCTGTGACAAAGTAAAGAACATAATTTATCAGACTGGTACCATTTTGGGCATTCCTCCTGCTTAGAGTGGGGCGGTGGGGTAGCCTAGTGGTTAAAGCATTAGCTTGTCATGCTGAAGACCTGGGTTCGGTTTCCCACATGGGTACAATGTGTGAAGCCTATTTCTGGTGCAGGGCTCCAGAAATTTTTCAACATCAGGAGTACGTACTCCATATTTTTTCACTACAGGAGTACTGGAAAACCTTAAGAGTACATTATTGTTTCGTTTCATATACTCATGCCAATAATGGTTGTCACCCCACTCTCCACACCCACACCCCCTCTCCAATACAAAAATTGAAGGGGGTGACAACCATTATTGGCATGAGTATATATGCACCACAGCATTGATAGTCTTGTGTAAACAGGTCAATAAACAATAAACCAATATTTTTCTTCAGATAAATACGTCTGTAAGTGATTCTCAGACCGTACACTATTGCTGTGGTGTGTACCTGCTACGTTTTCTAAATTATTTGCTACCGTATTGTGCATATTTTTTATCCGTACATACGCCGATAAGGCCCTTATCTGGAGCCCTGTGGTGTCTCCCGCCGTGATATTGCTGGAATATTGCTGAAAGCAGTGTAAAACTAAACTCACTCACTCCTGCTTTGAGCAGAAATGTCATATACCACCATGGGATTGCAGCATATAAATACTCACTCACTCTCACTCTCACTCTCTCTCACTCTCACTCTCACTCTCATTCTCACACACACACAAAACATCCTGTGTACATATATGTAACCTCAGTGAATGCACTCCGTACAGGTGACCTTAAGTTTGACAGATCCAAGTTGTATCTCATACTATGCTATTGATGCTGATGTTTCTGCCTGAATCTTTTCACAAAATTGATTCTTCTCATGCCAAGTTTATAGTTAGATAGACTGATATATTTGCATTTGTTTTCAAAGTTTAGTAAGCGCATATCTGTAATTGATATGATACTGAAAGAAACTTCCAAGACGCAGTCAGTGCCATGGCAACAGCTGGACAATGGTAGACAAAGCAACTATCAATAAATCACTGATAGAATTGAAATGTAAAAATTGAATTACTTCATGGATTTTTGGAATATTTCATTATATTGATACCTGAACTGTCAAGTGCATGACAGTATTGCCATAATCTGTATTGTCAGTCTCTGAATTTAAGTGTGGAATTATTTTATACTGTCATGGCCTAAAGCATGTTTATCATGTTTCAGATTTATCTTTCATTGATCTTGCATTGATCTTGTGATCACCTCACTTTGTATGTTGAATATTACATTAAAATGGCAGGACAAAATTTGTGCAGAAAAGAGATAAAGATGCAATTATCAGGTGTTACATTTAGGAGAGTTAGACACACAGTATTAATATGAAAGGTTGACAAAGGTTGGTAGATACTGAACATGTAATAAAACACCTCAAATAGGAGTTGATCTGCACAGAAGAAAAATTAAGTGTGCTTAATACTACTGTGATTTAAATAAAGATGTATAAGCATGCTAAGTTGAACTGTGACGAACTGTGCATAGTGTGTTGTATTGAAGAGCACTTCCATCTATCGCCCATATTGTATAGTCCATATAAAAGGTGGCCAGTTGTGTAAGACTTGTAGCTTGCTATTTGAAGTTGTGACCTGCAGTTGCAAGGACCAGCTGGTGGTTTGTTGAATCACAGGTCAGATACTGCCTTACTTTTGTGTTCCTCCCACATTTGGCTGATACTGATCCCAACTCATTGGTACATCATCAGCATTTCTATCTGTGAAAGACTGCCTCCGTGGTGTAGTGGTTAGAAGCGTCCGCCCGGAGAGCGGGAGGTCGTGGGTTCGATCCCCGACTGCGTCATACCAAAAGACGTTAAAATATGGTACTTGTTGGTCCCTGCCTGGCGCTCGGCATTAATGGGTACAACAAGGACTTGTCGGCTCGGAGTCAGTATAATGTGTCTGAGTAGGGTATTCATGCTTCACTGCGGCATGGTATCTCAGTGGGCTAGCACTATAAAACCAGCTTCAGTCTGGGCTAGTACAAGCAGCCGCACTCCACATACACACACACACACACATGCACGTCGTCATATGAGCGAAATATTCTCAAGTACGACATTAAACCCAATTTCACCTCACCTCACCTCTCTGTGAAAACAGACTGGTGCAGCATAGCAAATATTTGATTACCGCAATATAACACAGCAGCTCACGTATATTGAAAAAAGAACATTAGAAAACATTATGAATATTTCATTTATGATTTATTCAGTACGAATTATGTGATAACTGAAACTGAATTTCCAAATTACAAAATGCCTTCAGACTTTTGAAAAGGCTATTTTGAGCACTTGCACATGAATAAAAAAACATCAGGCCATAAGGCTAATGATTATGGAATCATGTCCAATGATTTACTTATTCCTGTTGAACTGGCATGTACTGTTAGGATTATAGATTAGTGTAGGTGGGACTTAATCCATTGCTTCTCTCTTATGCCATAGATCAAGGGAGACTTAGCCATGACTATTTTAGGCTATGACGATATAGACCCGATCCAATGCAGCACTTGTAACATGTACCTGTTCATACATGTGGAATAGCCGACTTTGTATGTATTACATGATTTGTGTATAATACTATTGAGGATTGCAACATTGGGCA